GAAGGGCCAAATTTTAGCGTCATCCGATAACCTTCATGGGAACCACCCTATTGTTAATCTTACGGTAAATCGTCTTGGTCCGGCTGAAATTCCGGCGCTCCAAATTATGATGGATTTTACAGTGGTTATCTGGTTACGTTTCAGTTTTTCGGTGGAAGGTCACGTGGAACAAGTGCAACTCTTGTATCCCGTGAATTCCCAGGTTGCATCAAGATTTTGGGAAATTTGAGAGAATTAGTTAGGAGTATCGATCTTTTAACCCCGTGAATCCAGGAGAACCGACCCGTAGGAGGCGCCAAAAATCCACGGTAATTTTCCGAACGTCCACCAGTTCGGCCCAGATTGATCATCAGTCAATTTTATAAAGTATGAATAATTAGAGATGAGTCGCGTTTGAATTCCCCGAAATCATTCGGTGGCGCCATCAAACCCCCTGCTTGATGTGCTAAAATCTCCGCCAATCTGAGCCCGCCTCTGTTGGCCGGAATTTGCGCTGCGGTTAGTGCCCGTGACACTAACCCAGGGCAGCTAGTTCCGCGTTGACCGTCCCAAACCACTAGTCGCGTGTGAATTTCTGTGTGCCCATACTACGCAACTGCGCAATCTGGATTATTGCGACATTATCCTGTAGCTGTAAGGATCCAGGATGGTCCGAAAAGGGAAGAGGACCCTCAAAAACCGAAAAGCCGTGAGTTTTCTGGTATTTTTCCCCTAATTTCGAGCCATTTTCGAATGGCCTCGTTTCCCCTTGATGGTGGTATCCCTCGCGTGGCCCTCAGCCACGTGCGGTGGTTGATCAGCCCCCCTTTATTCATATTTGTTATCCCGAATTTGGCATTATCCCTTATCCCGGATATGTATCCGCGAGCCCTTCCGATTTTTGGATCGGATATTCCACACAAATCGGGTCGGTACCGAGTTCTCAACCCCTTCCGGTTTATCCCAATCAACTTTTGAGATGATTTTTGGGTTCAGCGAGTGTGTTTGTTAGGTAGTGGAATTCTTGCGTCTTTTCCCAGTTGAAATCGGGCGATTTTCTACATGGGCTATTCCCTTCTCCCTCGCTCCTATGGCGAGGAGTATCCCTATTTGCCCTACGTATAAATTGCGTAGAATTTTTCCCCTCGTGGTAACCCCCTAACGCGCCGACAAGTGGTGACTATCGCTTTCCGTAAGCGTTCCCCCATTTAAATTTCCCTTCCGATATAACTCAATCTGGAGTGGCTCCCAATGATCCCAAAATTATGATTTTGGTTTCATGGGCTTCGCTAGACTTTTCTGAGCAAGTTGGGTATGGGTTTTTGAAAATTTACTCTACCGAATTTCCGCTACGGCGAGTTTAGTTTTAGGGAGTTGTTAGTTTTCCGCAATACGCTACACGTATATCGCTGGGCTTAGATTTTTCTGTCTCTCACTCTCACGGGGATTCGCATACCGTCTCTTCCTTTCTCGACATTCTCGAGTATTTCGGGATTAATCGATAATTTTGTTTTTATATTATTGTGTGAGGGATTTGATGACCTCACCTACGGTTGAGTTAATCGAAATATTATTTTCGGACTATATAGTAAGCTTTAAAATATTATTTCCAAGGCAGTATTTGTTATTCAATCAGTTATTGTTATAAACCTTTCTTTTGGCGAGATCAATGCGAAGAGAAAATCATGTATATTATTAATTATCCATATTTCAATAGCGAAACACGTAAGGACGAAGTCGATTTCTTCTTTTTTTTTTTTTGTAGCTTTGACCACCTAATACCCGTCTCCACCTGAAATCCACCACTCTCTCCACAACCTAGCACACTGAGCGAACCAAGGACCGTTACCTTTCCCCAGAAATCTAGTTTTCTTCCTTTTTGAGTAGATTTTGAGGTATTTGAATTAGTTAGAATTAACTTTGTAGACTCCTCCGGTTTGGTAATTCCGGCCAAAACATTACCTGGCGCCCACAAATTTTTGCATTTTGAGTTTAACTAGATGAAAGAATTTTATTTGTAACGTGACATTTTAGTATGCGGGTTAAAAATGCCTATTACCTTCGCCCTTCTTCCCCTTCATCTAGTTAAACTCAAAAATGCAAAAATCTATCGGCGCCAGGTAATTTTTAGCCGGAATTACCAAACCGGAGGAGTCTACAAAAGTAATTCTAACTAATTCAAAAACCTCAAAAACCTACTCAAAAAGGGAGAAAACTAGATTTCTGGGGAATGGTAGCGGTCCTTGGTTCGCTCAGTGTGCTAGGTTGTGGAGAGAGGGGTGGATTTCAGGTGGAGACGGGTATTAGGTGGTCAAAGATACAAAAAAAAAGAAGAAATCGACATCGCCCTTACGTGTTTCACTATTGAAATTTGAATAACTACTAACATACATGACTTTCTCTTCGCATTGATCTCACAAAAAAAAAGATTCTTAACAATACTGATTAAATAGCAATAATGACAAAATGAAATTGGAAATAATCATTTGAATTCTCCTATATAATGCAAAAGTAGTATTTGGTCGATTAACTCGACCACCAGTGAGGTCATCAAATTCCTCATACCACCATGTGTACGAAAAATTATCGATTAATCCCGAAATACTCGAGAATGTTGAGAATTGAAGGGAAAGGTATGCGAAATCCTGTGAGAGTGAGAGAGAGAAAAATCTAAACCCAGCGATATACGTATAGCGTATTGCGGGAAACTAAAACTCTCCAAAACTAAACTCGCCGTAGCGGAAATTCGGTAGAGTAAATTTTCAAAAACTCATAGCCAACTTGCTCGGGAAGGTCTAGCGAAGCCAATGAAATCAAAATCATAATTTTCGGATCATTGGGAGCCACTCCAGATTGAGTTATATCCAGAGGGAAATTTAAACAGGGGAACGCTTACGGAAAGCGATAGTCACCACTTGTAGGCGCGTTGGGGGGTTACCGCGAGGGGAAAAACTCTACGCTATTTATACGTGGGGAAAATAGGGATACTCCTCGCCATAGGAGCGAGGGAGAAGGAAATAGCCCACGTCGAAAATCGTCCGATTTCGACTGGGAAACAACGCAGGAATTCCACTACCGAACAAACACACTCGCTGAACCCAAAAATCATCTCAAAAGATGATTGGGGTAAACCGGAAGGGGTGAAGAACTCGGTACCGACCCGATTTGGGTAGAATATCCGATCCAAATACGGAAGGGCCCGCGGATAAATATCCGGGGTAAGGGATAATGCCCAAAAAAAATGCCAAATTGGGACCAACAAATATGAATAAACGGGGGGTGATCAACCACTGCACGTGGCTGAGGGCCACGCGAGGGATACCGCCATAAAGGGGAAACGACGCCATTCGAAAATCGCTCGAAATTGGGGGAAAAAAAACAAAAAACTCACGGTTTTTCCGTTTTTGAGGGTCCTCTTCCCTTTTCGAACCATCCTGGATCCTTACAGCTACAGGATAATCTCGCAATAATCCAGATTGCGCAGTTGCGTAGTATGGGCACACAGAAATTCACACGCGACTAGTAGTTTGGGACGGTCAACGCGGAACTAACTGCCCTGGGTCAGTGTCACGGGCACTAACCGCAGCGCAAATTCCGGCCAACAGAGGCGGGCTCTGATTGGCGGAAATTTTAGCACATCAAGCCGGGGGTTTGATGGCGCCAACGAATGCTTTCAGGAAATTCAAACGCAAAAAAATACTCAACTCTAATTGTTCTATATGTAACTTTATAAAATAAACTAATTGATTAATCTGGGCCGAACCGTGGACGTTCGGAAAATTACCGTGGATTTTTGGCGCTTCCTACGGGTCGGTTCTCCTGGATTCACGGGGTTAAAAGATCGATACTCCTAACTAATTCTCTTAACTTTCCAAAACTCTAAGCAACCTGGCAATTCACGGGATACAAGGGTTGCACTTGTTCCACGTGACCTTCCACCGAAAAACTGAAACGCAACCAGTAAAACACTGTAAAATCCATCATAATTTGGAGCGCCGGCATTTCAGCCGGACCTAAACGATTTACCATACGATTAACAATAGGGTGGTTCTCATAAGGGTTATCGGATGACTCTAAAATTTGGCCCTTCTTCACGATAACCCTATGGGCCCTCAAAAACGCGTAATTTTAGATCTTTATTAGTCAAAAACGAAACGAAACCGCAAAATTACTAAACGGAAGCGCGAAGCAACGAAAAATAACTCCGCTTAAACGGAGAAACACGACTCGATTATCCCAGGGATAATCGGAAAAATGACCACACCGGAGTGGGAAACAAAATTCTACTTTCTCTCTCTCTCTCTCTACTCACGATCCGTTACTGAGTGTCGCCGGAAGTGGATGTTCTCAGGTCCTGGTGGTGTCTCTAACGAACATCCCCACATGTTCGTTACAATCCCCTCCTTTGACAGTTGGTATCCGTGTACGGCGGTGTGTTGGTGACCTGATGACGGTGATAGTTTTCTATCGTCCGGAAGGTGGGTATTCTCGTACTCTGCAACGGGGCTGTTAAAGGGAACCAAAAACCGAACCCACACCCTGAGATGTCGGCTGGATCAAAACTCACAGCTATGTATGAGAACGCTATACTTTATTTGTTAATACTTTGTTTTTCGCCTTAGGCGCGGTCGAATACCACACTCCTAACAATTTTAGTGGGAAACTAATTATTATTATGATATCACATTTTTAGCCTCTCCAGGAGGTCGTTTCCACCGCGCGTGGCGGGGCTTTATCAAAAAAAAATTATCACTGCCTTCGTGAGCCTTATCACGGGCCGAAAAACGAAAAAATGAAATTGTGTATCAAAAAAAAAGAATACGAAAAAAATTGAATGCTGGTCCAACCAGAGAATCATACAAAAAAAAAAGCTTCAAATCCAAAATTGAATGGTGGATTATTGAGAGAAGAAAAAAAATATTATCTTGAGTAACCCACCGCGATTAGCGGGGACAAAAAACGAACAAAAAAAAAGAAACCATCGTGTCGAACGGGGATAAAAAAAAGAAAACCGCCGTTTATCAACGGGGAGGATACCTCGCTGCCCAGGACTTAGGTCCGGGGGGAGGATTTTGAGGTAGCTGCTGAGTTGCCGGTTGACCTGACGAGGTCGGCTGAACCTGATTCAGGAGCTGCTGCACGGCCACGATGGTCTCTGGGGACCACTGCAGGGCTGGTGCCGTCGGGGGTACTGGTGCCGGAGATGTCGATGGTGCCGGAGATGCTGGAGTTGGAGAGGTGTAGTAACCTCGAGGGGCATCTGCGGACGCACTCCAACAACTGGCCGCTGATCGCGGAGTCTCCTCTGGCTGGGGAGGTTCCCAGAAGGACCTGAGTGTGGACCCCTCCGGAGGATTCCTGGTGAGGCCACGGCTAGACCAATACTCTCCAGACGTAACGGTCGCTGGTTTCGATGCCGTGGATGCTGATGTGAAGGTGGCCCCGTAGCCCTCAGATGGGGATGAATAATGATCCCAAGAGCGCTCGTGGGATGCCCTTGGGGGTGGTCTCGGACGAGATCTCTCCCGAGGTTCCCCGACCCTGGGGTGCTCTCGGTTGGGGCCGCGACTGCCTGAACGAGAACGGCGGAGGGTACCACCCGTCGATGGAGCTGGACCGACTGAACGATTCCTTTGAACGGCTTCCAAAGGAGGCCTGCCATCTTCTGCTGCCGATGTTGGCTTCGGGGGTTTTCGACTTAACGATAACCGCCTGTTGCTAGGTGGAGACATATGACCAATCACGTGATCCCTACTCTACGTAAGTTTCCCCGCTCTATGGGTGAATATTTTGAGGTCCTCCCCTCTCGGGAGAGTCAGTCCGTGGCTAGTAGGGGGGTGACCCCCCCCCATCTCTGACCCGCGGTATATAATAAGGCTCGCACCTCGCGTCCAGCAATTGGTTTTTCGGCTGCCTCGACGATCAGTTCATTTCGGTTTCGAGTCGTCGAATTGGATGAAACTTTTTTTTTTCTTTTGTGAAATATTAGTGAATCCGATGGCGCGACTTGCTCCTTGGATTAATTTCGAATTCCTTTTGGATTAATTTGGATTACGCTTAGATTATCACATCGCACCGCGGAGTATTGAGGATAAGTGATAACAACTCGATTTTCCCATTTTTCTCATTCGAGAATTACGTGGTTCTGACCCATGATTGGTAATCCATCAGGTCTCAACGATCCTCCCTGGAATTTGATTCACAGAGGCTGATTCACTTCCGATTGTTGGATTATCCCGAAGCTCAATTACTCATGGGTGAATTTCCTCATTTTTCTGGCGAAAAGTGAGTGTTCTTCCAGATTTATAACGGAGAGCCTCCGACTTCACGTCGGCTTGACAAGACATGGGTGACAAATGGGGTAAAACCCCTATAGATCCCAATCTCCCTCTTAATGAGGACGGGACCTCTAGAGAGCCCACTCTTCCACCGACCGGTGAGATTCATCAAAGTGGCGTATTCACCTTTAGAGGTGCGACTTTGAAAATTCCCGGTAGTGGTATTTCCGGCACTGAGGTCCCCATACCTGGTGACTCCATAAATGGTACTTTCGGAGCGTTTGCTCATGGAGTTGATGCTACTATCGACCAATCCGTCCTCACTGACGGCCGAAATGGGGGTACCCTTGTACCTCCAAAAAGGAAGTATACGAGGCGAACCACTACCTCCACCGTGAAGCCTAAGGTTAAGGTAACACGACGTGGCTCCACTAGAAGTGAGACCATTTCCGACGTCGCCACTTCCGACGCGGCTTCCACTTCATCGGCGTGCAGCCATGGCTCCATTCGAGTCACTGGCGCGGAAGATCCCAACTTGGTTAGCCAAGATGGCATTCCAGAGGAGGATGTAATAACTCTGGCTTACAATCATATTCGCTTGGGGAATATCCCAACTGAAAGGCGTACTCCGCAAGGAGCCCATCCAGGGAGCAACCCTGAGTTCCTCCTCCAGCCACCAATGTGGCCTGGTCAGAATCCCCAGCAACAGGGATATTATCCTTTTGCCGGAGGAAATCTCCAACCATCGGAGCTACCCAATTATCCTTTTGCCCCGGCAGAAGGCAATTCACTGTCGGAATGGGCATACCCCTATGCCGCATGGTCATCCTATCCTCCCACTTATGGGAGAGGTGTCCCTCAATCACAGGGACAAAATTCCCCTGATGCAGGGCAGGTTCCCCCAACATCTGGGGAGCGAGATTCCTCAAGGGCGAGGCAATTCCCACCCCCGCAGGGGCTGGATGGTAATTCCCCTAGACAGGTATTTCCCGTTGAAGAGGGCTTCCACTTCTCCGAAGGAGAGAGTCGGCCAAATCGATGGAGACCCCTTGGTCAGGCTTTCACACAACAGGAGGGTGATGAGTCTACTACTTCCCAAGTACAGTACTTTGGGTTCACTACCAGTAGATCCGGTCTACAAATAGACTCTGCTATCGCCACTCCGGTTCTCGATTTCCCGCAACCGCGAAATCGTAGACAGTTGAGGCGCTTCCTCGGACTAGCCTCTTGGTTCCATAGGTTCATTCCACGTTTTGCAATGGTGACCGATCCCCTGACCAAAGTGGCGGGTGGAAACCATCCATGGGCTTGGAGCATAGTACACAGTATCGCATTCACTTCGCTGAAGGCGCATCTAACGTCTACACGTACGTTAGCATATCCCAATTTTGGGCTTCCGTTCTCAATGCAAACCGATGCCAGTGCAGTAGCTTTGGATGCCGTTCTGACACAAGTCAGTGATGGGAGAGAACGAGTTGTCACCTACGCTAGGAGGGTGTTGTCCCCTGCTGAAAGGGAGTATTCCGCGCCGGAACGGAAGGATCTCGCTGTTATCTAGGCTACCGCTCACTTCAGCGCTATTTGGGGAATGAATTCCCCTCCGTGATACGTTTACGGTCCGAAAGGAATCCACCTCAGTCGTGGCCGAACGATTCTTTGACCCTATAACGAAGTACCGTTCATCTCTCCCCCGAAAGGGCGGTAATTTTCCGGACAAATTCTCCGTGTCCCATCTCTTGTTGCAGAATTCATCACCGGAGGTCACCACCACTACCGAGGCAGAATGCCTGACGGTAGACCTGACGGGAAGCCCACCACCTTCACCTCCCCTAAGCTTGGAGACCAAGGACGAGCCGGCGCCCAACACCAGTAAGCAAGCGGCGTTGTTGAACACCCAGCTCGCCCTGGAATGCGTCCTGTTCCAGGAGGGGATCCCGGTCGAAGACCTCGACGATTATTCATTCCCGGAAGAGGAGGTAGTCGAACAGCTGGGCTCACCTCCGTGCCCGCAGCGCTACTCCCCAGAGACGGAGGCGATTACTCCGCCATCCACGGTCGCACTCGTCCGACCGAATCGAGAACGAACACCTCCAAGGGAGCAACCCGGGTCACCGCTTCGCTTCCCACGATTCTGGGATCTTATCGGCCCCTGCCTCGCCGACATCAGGAGCATTGAAAAGATGAACCCAGGATTCGCTGACGCCCTGTCCACCTGCTCCCTTGCTCCACTTCAGCAACTAACAAGATGGAGGTATGAGATCCCCCCTCTTAAACTGGGATCTTTGGAGATTACCACCACGGGAGAGAGGGAGGAAGTTGTAATCCCCGATGTACCGTCGGTGGCACAGTCCGGAGACCCCACTATCTCGTCGGTTCCAGACCTCACGTCTGAGTCATCCGATATTCCACCGGCCCCCTCAAGTCCACGAATCCCCGACTCACAATCGAGCTCTTCAACCTCCTCCAGCTCCCGCTCATCCTCCTCGGATTCCAGCTGTTCCATCGAGACATGTCTGGAGCCAGAGGACGGAGATCCAGGTCGTCTACTTTGTTTAGGGGAATCAGTAAAATCCCTGTCACATCCCTCCACGGGCGCAGAGGTACCCCAGGTCACTCCCATCCGGAGCTCCGAGAGCAGTGTTGTCGAATTCCTAGAACTCGATAATCAGGAGGAACTCTCGTTAGCGAGCACGACCCCGGGACCAACCTCACCAAATCTGACTCCATCGACCCCTAAGGTGGAGTCGAGTCTGCTGAATCCGTCCCTCAAGAGTACGAGAGTGAGCAAGAAAGCCCATCCTGGTCAGTCCCCGGAGGTCAGGGATGGCCAGGGAACCTCCGCCGGAGCTACCTTAGAGATGCCTCCGGCGGTCACAACATCATCACCTCCGACGAAGGCACCTCAGATGCCCCTGAGCGCGCCTCCTTCGGCTCCACCTCCGGGAGGGTCAGCCGAACAGCAACCCCTCCAGGTTAATCCGCCCACGCAGGGTAACCCCCCAACACCAGGAGAGATCGGCGCGACCACTCCGACTGTTACCACTGCCAACACACCACCGGCTGTTCCGAGTAACCCCAGAGGACTTAATACTCGGCAAAACGCTGCCCATCAAGAGGGGACTAGGCCCAAGCGCGGTGGGGGGCAACAAGGCAAGTCCCAAGTAGGAAAAAGGCGTAAGCCGAGGCCATAATGCTTTGACTGTTGCAAGCACGGTCATCCACACCAGATATGTCCCAATCCAACCGGGGACACCTTCTGCGATCAGTGCCCCTCCAGACTCAGCGCCCACCAGAGGTGTCCGGAGCACGGGTTTGTGGCCAACCCCGGAGGAGGTCGTAAACCCCCGAAACCAACATCGGCAGCAGAAGACGGCTGGCCCCCCTTGGAAGCCGTTCAAAGGAATCGTTCAGTCGGTCCAGCTCCATCGACGGGTGCTACCCCCCGCCGTCCTCGTTCAGGCAGTCGCTGTGCCAACCGAGAGCACTCCAGGGTCGGGGAACCTCGAGAGAGATCTCGAAAGAGACGACCCCCAAGGGCATCCCACCCTTGAGCGTGGGAGCGCTCTTGGGATTATTATTCATCCCCATCTGAGGGCTACGGGTTAGCGTGCCCCAAAATATCAAAAATATCTAGTTTTGCTTCGCCTATGCGTCCAATCGATGGTGGTTTATCTCCAAAGAGAGTATGAATTTTTCCTAATTTTTAGAGCAATTTCTTCCGGCGGCAATGATAATCTAAAATTCCTGAAAAATTTCTGACCTACTGGCAGCTTGCAGCTAATGAGTCTGTGAAAAGTCAAATGGCTTTATGGCGGTCTCTCGCCAGGTAGTAAGGGTGTTCGGTCGGTACACCTCTCTTCCAGGTAATGTCTGTCTGCGCCGATTTACTTAATGGAAAATTTCTCATATTTTTATTCGTCGGNCTGTGAAAAGTCAAATGGCTTTATGGCGGTCTCTCGCCAGGTAGTAAGGGTGTTCGGTCGGTACACCTCTCTTCCAGGTAATGTCTGTCTGCGTCGCTTTACTTAATGGAAAATTTGTCATATTTTTATTCGTCGCGTATGAAAATAATGGCATTGTTTAGAGCTGTGAATTCGTATAACATTTATCTTCACGGAGGAAATATTTGGTTGTAGTACCTCAAGACTTGCAAAAATATCCGATAATTATAGGATTATTTTTCACATTATAAGTTTGGTTATGAGGAATATTTATTTACTATATCTATGAAATCTGGAGAATAGTCGGTAAACCACTGTACAATTATGAATTTGATAAATATAAAATATCCGGATTCATCTTTTAGCTATATAAATTGCTTCTTGAAATTCTTCAGTCAATACGAATCAGTTGTTGATTTTGAAGAAATCGAATTTTCTAAAAAAACTTTCATAATAAATAAATAATACTATTTTCAAAATTATTAACTATTAAATATTAAATTTTTTACTTAA